GGCAGAAACGGATCCTCAAAGAAAGAACAGTTTCGAGGAGCAATTGAATAGTTCTCATCTTTATCGCTGACTCACACACTAAAGCTTCGATATTCAGACAAAAGCCGGAAGAAATATGATACAAAAAAGGGTGACAAGAAAGGGATAATCTAATCTTGGTAGTAAATGCATTAGCTATAGCAACAAACAGTTCCACGGTATATAAGAAAGTGACGTGTATGACATGCGATCAATTTATGTCACGCAAACACGTGAGGAAAGCGAAAGTCTTCGGCTGTAAGTTCTGATCCTGATCATGGTACCAGTTTATAATGTTAATCGGTCATAATTGCACTGTACATAAGACACTATGCAGCTATGGTGATAAGATTCGGCTGAGTAATGCGTAATTCATTTATTTCGCATTCCCACGTTGCCACTAGCAGTTCTGTTTGTCGTAGCATGATTTCAAATTTGCACTCTCTTATTGTGTTCAAATTAAAACAACCCTCAGAAAGTGACCGTTGATCGTCTGAGAGCTCTAAAAAGCCTAAATATCCAATCTTAACTCAGAACAAAAAAGCATACGTTGCAACAAAATGGGTCTGACAACAACTTCAGCTGCCAGCACAGCAAAATTCGCTTGTCATATGACCATACGTAGTCACGATTTGAAACAGAAAATATGACCTATCCGTATATGTGTATACATGTTTATCAGCAATAAACAGTCTCTCTATCTTACCATTTTTCTCTCCAGAGGTCTTTGCTTTTACATATAAGAAACTATCTTTGTCCTCCGTTGTTACAATACATGAGTGAGACGACGTTCTCGTTGACGGAAGTGTACGGGAAAACATTACTGAACTAGAACTGCTGATAAAGGATAGATTTTGAAGAGCCGCTGCTTTTGTCACCTCGCCATCAAAATTACATTCATTAACAAGCCCTGCAGTCGATATAGTCCAGAGAAAGGACATGAGGATACAAGAACGCACCATTATGGATCGGTCTCCACTGAGTAACTGAGCTGAGCCAGGCTACTGATGCGGAAAAAATGAGACCGAAAGTGAAAGCCACGTGACTCTAGTTCAATACCATGGTATCAAGACAAAGGCTTGCCTTCAGAGAAAAACAGATGTGTCCTTGTTTACTGGTTTATAAATAGCAACTTCTGTTTTGTTTATTTCCTCTAAACACTTGCTACCGAAAGAGTGAAAGTTAGACTATCAATTAAAATTGATAGTCTAACATAATAGGAAAGGACCATCATTCTGCTTCACTCTTCCTAATACGATCGGGCTCAACTACTGATACTAATCCACGATACTTCCTGTCCAATATCTATTTCTTGAAAAACCAAGGAAGAAACGCGTCAGTATACTATCATTTTACAAGTTTATATTGAAAGCACCCATTCAAACCAGCTTGAAGCCGAACTGGGCCAGCCTGCATAAATATCGCTAATAAATAAATAAATACTAATGAGGGATCAAGCGAGCTATCCAAGAGGTAGACTGAAATCATCAGTTGGTGGAAGGTTATTTTTTTTAATTCCAGGCAAATCTTACATAACTTCTAACTTTCAGACCCGACCAATTGCTGAAGTATCCGAGTATCCAGCGTCTCTTACTTTGAAGTATACAATATTTTCGTATCCAAATACAGGTATAGATTATCCTAAAATCAAAGAGTCTTTTTTCATGATTTTTTTTCTGTTCGATGTATCATGAGACAGTTTCGAGGTACTTTATTTGAAAAGAAAATCGTGTATATTAGTCAAACATCCTCCCCTCCCCCCCTCCCCCATCACCTCTCAATACCCATTACATCATCATTCACTTGCTTGACTTCTTTTGGTATCGTAAAATCCCAGCCATTATTTCATAACCCTGGAAGCATGTTCGACGGACACAAAATGTTTCTGGTGATGAATCCTGACAAAGCTTTGCTATGGGCGCAAGGCTCGTTTACGAGAACCTTAACCCTTTATTCTTGAGAAACAGGAAAAACAGGAAAAGTCTCGAGGGCTTTTTAGGTGCTTGCACTACAAATAAATCTCTTAGAGGTCTGGAAGAGTTGATCCCAGACCCTAAAAGCGAAAATTTCGCATATAACCGATAGCACTGGATTAACAAAATATTTCCGTAGTAAGTTATCACGAAAATTGTTGTTGAATTCGAGCCAACTACTTCGACTTATTGTGCTGATCAAGACCAACGCAGAGATTGTTATTGTATGACCCGAGTCTCCTTACTCGTACCATGATGATTTGTTCTAAAAATATGTTTGCTTTGCGTTCAGCGGCTCATGGTGAGAGATTCGATCCAGGCTCAAAACAAAAATAACAGAGTTTGACTCTTGATGCCGCAACATGTTTTGCAGTAACATACCTTAGCACTTTTTGACGCTATCTGAGTAAAACGATAAAGTGCTTATCTTATTGACAAAAGGCTGCTATCGATCACAAAATAAATGTCGTGATTCTCTTACAAAACAGTACAGGGCGCGGTTGAAGATGCTTCCGGTGAGAATTTGATCGAAATAGCATATCTCTTTCACAATGATCTGACAATGTTTAGCCGAAGATATAGTTTCTTCGAACGTCTTAACATAATTGAACACAGCTTGTCTCGTCTAAAACCGTACTAACACATGAGTGATGGGTGTATTTGTACGCTTTCGAGTCCTACTCTATCTTTTGGTGTCCTTTGTTTTACATCAAACCTCTTCTGAGACATTTACAAGCGCCCGGACTTCATTTCTTCAACTGAAAAGGTGGAATATGTCCGACGCGCGGTGTCTTCGATTTCGCTTCAAAACGTTTCTCCCAGATGCGCTTCTGCTGTACATGGATGATGAAGGAAATACAAATTTCTTACGACTTGAACTGATTCGAGGAAAGCTACGACTTACATGCAGCTACGGATCTCGATTCGGGCCGATGGCAGACGAAACCCGCGGCGAAAATTTAAACGATTTAGCCTGGCATAGAGTGTTAGTGGAAAGGAATAGGGACAACACAACAATATACTTAGACAATCTACCGAAATTGGCTGTCGAGAGCCGAGAGAAGAAAGGACTAATCGTGAAAAGCCCGATGTATTTTGGTGGTTTTCCACCCAACCTCGGAGCAAATAGAGTCACACAGCCTTCAGTTCTTCTTCTGAACAGATTCATCGGATGCATAATGGATACAGAGTTTCTAGAATCTTCTTCTGAACAAGGAAACAAGATAACTAAAACCAGCGTGGAATATTCAGATGAAGTAATCCCAGGCTGTACTGATATGTGTGAAAGAAATAACTCATGCCTCAATAATGGGACATGTCTGAACAGATTCATTACAACTGCCTGCGACTGCACCACGACTGGCTTCAGAGGGGACACTTGTGAACGAGGTAAGCAAGCTTTTTTTGTCAGAAAAGGGAATGTTTTAGAGAACAGCCTTGAAAATTTAGCCGCCCTTCCCTTCCCGTTGTTGTACTGATTCCTTAATGATATCAGTGATTTGCTTCGTCTTGAAGGGTATATTTTTACTTTCTTCTTCTCGAATGTGTCATGTCCTACTGGGAGATGCATGCGAAAACATGTTGACATTTCTTGAATGAGGTTATCTCTGAGAAAATAAACTCCATTGCCAAAAAACATCATTAAATCATAAATTTTTTCGTTTTAAAATCCTTCTCGCCATAAACTGAAAGTAAGAGATGTATAGTGCAAACATCATACGTTTATTTGTAAACAATACTCATGTGAAATGCGGAATTTTCACCGTGACAGAGTCAGCGGGGATGGAACATGTGTCAGGAAAGCTTAGCCGGGTGATTGATAATAGGGTCACATACTAATCCAAGTATCATATCTCCTAAATGTTCCATTACAACAGCAACAAATTGCGTATTCTTTGTCAATCATTATTTTCAATTCACCATACTCTGTCTTTCATGGCAATTACCCGATTAGATTTGAAGAAATGAGGTCATCGGAAGCCGCTGATATGATGGAAATTTTATTTGGCTGTAATTAAAATTATTTTTTAGGTTAGGTCACACGATTAAATGTCTAGACTAAAGAAGATTGCTTAACCATCTGTGTTTTCAATCCTGCATAACAAGCGTTTTTTTCTTTAATTATGATTTTATTTACGAATATTTCAGGCGATCGAGGACTAGCAGGTCAGTCACGCGCGCGGAAGGCGGGCGGGAGAGCAAAACCACAACCTTCTCACTCTCTCTGTCGCGCGCGTCGCTCGCACTCCGCGCGTTCAGTTGTCAAAACTCCTAACAACGCGTTCAATGCGCTTAGGTGTGTATTTTGAGAAACGATAAAGGCGACAAAGTGTGTGTTGATTTTGGAAGTAATGCGTCACACCTAACACTGTTCAGAGTATCCAAGCTCGTGTTCGTTGCGTGTACAAGAAAAAGTAGTGTGAAGATTTCAACCATTTATCAAGCCATAAGCTGTTTTTCTGATCCTTATCAATATCACAGAAGCCGGAAAAAAGTTTTATAAACAAACTGGTTAACAAGATAAATAAAATAATAAGAAAAATACTCAAGTATCAGTAAAACACTTCTGTGAGATACCGCTGAAAACTTCTAGACTCGAGCCTTCCTTTTATCGACGTAAAAGTCAGAACCGTGATAACAAGTCTCGTAGTCCTTGTTTAGTAGCTAAATTTTAAAAGAGAAGAGGGTGAAAGATATGTAGGATCAGTATGATTTTGTTATTTCTATTTTGGAAGAAAATGACCTTTTTTCCTTCCTCTAATGTGCCCTTCCTGTCATCGCATGATATGAAATATTCAGATGCCGATGTGAAGCCCACTCACATAAACACAAGAGAATCGGTCAAACAAGAGTTAATCTTCTACATTTCTCTAAAGCAGACGATGAATCATATTTCGTAACTCAAAGGAAAACAATGATCAACTATTGTACTGATATATAATATCAAGTCACTAAAATGTTTCCATCATATTTTCAGCACTTCCGGTCATTGGTCTCAGCCAATTAGATCACTTAATTTTCAAGCGTTCCAATAAATCCGTCTCTTCAAAGCACGATCGAATCACGCTGAGATTCAAGACAGCCAATCAGAATGGATCACTCCTGGAAAGCGGGCGCGGGGCGAGAGACTATTTAGTGATCGCGCTGAGCAATGGTTACATTCTGATACGATGGAACCTTGGATCGGGTGAAATGTACCTGCATGCGCGTGACAAACCGTGCAGTGACAATAACTGGCACTCGGTTGATATACGAAGAAATCGGGGCCGAATTAACGTGACAATAGACGGCGTTTTTCACGTTTCTCAGAGTTTCCCAGGAAACTACCAATCATTTGATTTGGAAGAAGGCGAAGGAGATGTGTATGTGGGAGGAATGGTTATCAATGGCTTTGCTACGCATCGTCGTCCGTCGAGCTTTCCTTTTGAGGGGTGCCTTCAGGAAATCAGTTTCAATGGTGTGGATATCATCCAAGGTTTTCTCGACACGAAAGACAATTTTATCAGCCAAGGAAGTCTTAGATTGACTTGTGAAATCCCAAAGCGACTGATTCCAACAACTACGGCAATAACACTACTCGTTACGATGGATACAACAAAATCTGCATCAATAGCAAATAAAGTGCAACGTCCAACCTCATATACGACCCCACGAAAAATGATTGTGACTGACAAAAATCAACGTCTCTCAACCTCAAAAATCAACTCCAAATATTCAGAATTACCCTGCGCAGATGATGAAGACGATTGTAACCCTGAAGATTCTGGTTCGGGAGGGAGCGGCTATTCCGGAGATAATTATGTCAGTCCCGGATCAGAGAATGAGTCCACCGCGAAAGGTAAACATATCATCCCTGGCACAGGAGCCAATACAAGCAAAAATAAGTCGATTAAAAGCAAGGAAACAGGCGTGGAAAGTATAGGCGAGTCGGACAGTTCTCTAACGCCTTGCCCGGGGGATGATGAAGACGCCTGTGAAAATGCAAATGAGTCTGGACAGGGTTCAGCTGAGCCAGGCTCAGCTGCCGGCAGCATAACCACCCCTCGTCCCAGGACTTTTCCTAATGGCAACAGCGAAGTTAATGTTGAAGTGAAGGAAAGAGCCATCGTAAAGGAAAACAGCAGCAAAAAATGGACGCTCATAGCGGGGATAATCGTGGTAGGAACACTTCTTGTTGCATTTTGCATCTTCGCAATTTGTTGGCTTTGGAAAAACAAGAAAAACCCCGAGTGGACAGGGGTGTACCAAGTCAATGGCAGCCGAGAAAGATGTCTGGCAGCTGAAGCAACAGACGTATGATGGCCTAATTGATCACCTGATGATCATGGAGCATCCGTGGACAAATCAGAGAACAGTCGTGTCTACTTCTTAGCTGTTGTTGCTTCGTGAGTCACGCAACCCCGTTGAATGTCACGAAACACGTTTTCGCAAGAAGGCCTTATACTCTGTGCTTGTTTGGCCAAGCAACCTCTCCTCCAGAGCGAAAAATGTAACGTGACTTTCAATGGACGATTTCAAGAGGAAAAACATTATCTGACTTAATGAATTAATAATTTAGATTATCATCTGATAGCTTAAAAGAAAAGAAAAAGAAAAAAGGAGCAAAAGAAAAACAAAAATTTGAGCAACATAACAAATTCCACCCACATCAGCTTTGTTTACATAGTATTCTAGCAAAGTTCATTTAGTCAGATGTTGTTTCCACCGAACAAATATAATTCTAAATTTGAAAAAAATACGTCTGTTTGATTGGGGCATCTGCTGAGACCCAAATCATAACAAACTTCTGTATGAAAACAATTTCAGACTCTCAGTAATATTGTATGGAATTCTTAGCTCACTATGAATCACAGTCAGTGCGTATAGTAAGTAAGAGGTTAAATTACATCATAAGAGGAAAAACAATTATGCCAAAAGGAAGAGCAATTTGGACTCTCCGTCTCTTATAGTTGATTACGGACTCTCAAATACCCCCCCAAAAAAATTGTCCATGAGACCGTAAGTAAATGATTCCGAGATATGATATCATTGTATCAATTATAATGTTAAATTTTTGCGCAGTCACGACCTAAACAGCAATTCTCCGCACGGTCTGATATACAATTGTTTATAATTTTAGCCTCTAAGGTTCGTTAGTAAAATCAAACAATATCCCTAATAAGTTGGATTGTTTCTTCCGATCATCATTCCGCTCGAAGATGTGGTGATATTGTAAACTAAAGAGTAATTTCATTTTGGTTACTGACGGGAGCAAAAGGACCAAAAGAATTATACAAATTAGATTCA